CTTAAATTTTGATTAAGAAAAATTCTCTTAATCAAAATTCCGCTGACCAGCCTTACCTGTTCACTGACGACTCCCACCTTAATGAGTCGCCTCTGTGGGGGTTGCCAAATGCTGGTTCCCTAGTTTCATCATTCTTTTTTACATCCATTACATTAACGTACCCAAGTCTCCTGATCATTCTGGCTCTGCGATGCTGTTCCTGTTTCTCACGCTACCCTACATTCTTGGCTACTGGGCCTACTGGCCTTTTCCCCTGCATGGCTTCCAACCTTTCTCATGGGGAAATTGACTCTTGTCATTGACCATGATGTTGATTCCTCCACTCTTGTGAGGGAAGGGAATGGAAGGAAAAGGAAGTTGGAAAAGATAGTGACTACATATGGTTTCAATAGGTGAAGCTGTGGGGAGACTGTATCTTAGGCTATGGGTACTACCAAGGTACAGATGTATTTTGAGAACATTTAATAGGTGACCATGGTACATAGTGTATATGCAATGAGAGATGAGTTAATCGCTGCCTCAGAATATATAACATATTTTTGTTCACTTGTTTACTGGTTGTCTTTCCCTTTAGAATGAGAACAAAGACTTTGCCTTGTCCACTCCTGTTAGCTTTGGTGCCCAAAACAGGGTCTAGCAAAAAATAGGTACTCAGTTATGTTTTGTTAAATGTGTGAAGCTCAAACAAGTAGTTTGCACCCATATTTTGAAGGTCAGAATAAGAAGACTGTATTTAATTCTCTTTGACAAGGGAAGACGGTCAAAGTCTTTTATAGCAGGATAGTGAAACAACCAAGGTTTTTGTAAAATACCTCTAGGGATAATGGGAATGATAGATTAAAAAGAGAGAAATTTGGAGCCTTGTAGTAATTTTAGGAAACATTTATTATCTATATTTTATGGGATGCTTACTTGAAAGTAAAATGATTTTGTTTTTATATCATGTTTTAAAAGATTTCAGGGGCATCTGGGTGGCTCAGTAAGTTACGTATCTGACTTGGCTCTGATCATGATCTCACAGTTCGTGATTTCGAGCCCCCCCCCCCCCCCCTCAGCCTCACTGGCTCTTAAAAGGACAGCTCGAGCCTGAGCCCCTTGGGATTCTGTGTCTCCCTCTCTTTCTGCCCCTCCCCTGCTCATGCTCTTGTGTGTCTCTCTCAAAAATAAACATTAAAAAAATTTTAAAAATTCTTATCATAGATAATAAGATTCATCCATTTCTATAGTGTAGTATACTGAATTTTAACATAATATACTGAATTTATACATAAATACATAAATATACAGTATATACATAAATATACTGAATTTTAACATAATAATTACAACTTGGTGGTTTTTGCAAATTATTTTCAAAAATGGTTGTAAATGTCAGGTAGACAAAGCTTTAAATATTGGTGATCTTTTTAGTTAATTGCTATATCTTAGTCATAAAAAAATTCAGAGGTGTGTGGCAGTTTCAGTCAGAAGAACATGCACCTCTTGATCTCAGGGTCATGAGTTTGAGCCCCATGTTGGGTGTAGAGATTACTTAAATAAAAAACTTTTTAAAAATAAAATAAATATAAAAAATTCAATACAAGAAGCATTTATTGAGAGGATTTATGGGTCAGGTACCTGTCAAGGACTCTGCAGTGTTTGAGATCTTACCCTACTTATAAGCTAACAAGTTTGCTTGTTTCATGGCTGTCAGCAGAAGACACAAGACTCCTGGGTCAAAGACAAAGGACTTTATCATCATTGCAAAAGCACTATCCAGACTTTCATGCTTATTTCTGATGATTTGCCATGCCCCCGCAGTGCCATGAGGGTAACACTAAAGACCCATCATAGATACCTATATACACAGCGTGTTGCATTAAAGGAGGGGATCCCTGAGCTCGCCACTCTTTATAGTAAACAGTATCAGCCTGCTTCTTGGCAGAGGAAAGGCATTACCTCATCCTTCAAGATTGCTCACTGCAAGCTCAACTCTGAGGAATGGCCTGCGGAAAGAGTGGTCAGGATTTTGCATTCTTGGCATACGCAGAAAGAATGTACAGGGACACTCAGGGACCAAGGAGATGGCCTCTTCCAATAGTACTGTGTTAGTGCGAAAAAGATACACACTCCTAAAATGAAATTCGGCCAAATCTAAAATACAATTTTCTGTGGAAAAACACTGGAAATATTAGTTGGAACTGAGGTATACAGCATTACCGGTGCTCCCTCCCCATCTGGATAACATACTGATGAGATTTGTCATCAGTCTGATATTGATAAGTGTGCGGAAGATGAGTTGAAAATTTAGTGGGAGTAGTTGAAAATCATTATTTGAAGTGCTTAAAAATTTATGAATTTAAATTTAGCCTTTCTTGGTTGAATATTACTAGACTACAATGGTTTTTTCCAAACGTGATGAAAAAATGATACTTCAGACCATAATAATGATAGTAACAATTGCCACCACAACACCAATAGCAGTGAACATTTCTTTTTTTTAATGTTTATTTATTAATTTTTGAGAGAGAGACAGAGTGTGAGCAGGGGAGGGTCAGAGAGAGAGGGAGACACAGCATCTGAAGCAAGCTCCGAGCTAGCAACACAGAGCCCCGTGCAAGGCTCGAACCCACGAACCGTGAGATCATGACCTCAGCCAAAGTCGGATACTTAACCCACTGAGTCACCCAGGAGCCCCAGCAGTTAACATTTCTTAAGGGCTTACTATGTGACATGCATCATTCAAAGTGCTTCTGGGTATTAACACACTAATCCTGACAATAACTGTATGAAATAGGCACTAATTTTTTTTTTCATAAGAAGAAATTAAGGCCCAGAAAGGTTAGGTAATTTACATCGTATCACATAGCTGGAATACCAGGAAGCGTTCAGCCGCGATTAACAGAAACTCTCAACAATTGGTGCGTTTATTATATGATGCAGGAAGACCAGAGGTATGGCAGGCTTTAGAGCTAGTTGATTCGATGGCTAAACAAAGTCATCAGTGAAAATTACTTGTTTTTTTTTTAACAGCTCATCATTCATGTACGAGCTTTGCCCTCTGACTGGCCCCACTTGTGGTCACCAGATGGCCATGGCACTTCTTGGCATCGCTTCCACGCAAGGCAGTGTTCGGTCACAGAGGAAAACTCTCCCCTGGTGCCCTGTCGGTGTCGGAGTGCAAAAAGCTTTCCCACAAGCCCCCAACATATCTTTCCTCGGGTCATTCTTGCCAGAAGCAAGTTCCACACCCTCCCCTAAAACATCTGCCCAGAAGAATGGGATCTCTGTGATGGAGACAAGACAAGAGTTACCCTCGACACTGGGAATATGATCACCCTGCCCTGATTTCTGTGGGAGATACATGTGAGACTCTGCCAGCGAATAAGGAGGGAAAGGGTTGCAGGGGGGCGCTCCCAGCAGGGTCAGCTGGTCAGCAGACAACGGAAGATAGAAGCACTCTGTCTTCTTCGGGGCCTGCCCTGAAAAGCCTGGTGATTCTCCTTGGGCTTCCATGGCTTTCTTTGTTGAGCTGACATTTTAGAAGCTGGTAGTTGTGGTAAGTTTGATCACATTGACGGAGTGAATCCAGAAAATTGGCTTTCTTTTTACTGTTTACGATAGCCATCATTCAAGGTCGGTAGGAAGAGTTTACAAATACTTAAACTCCTTGCCTACTCCGATTTCTCAAGAAACGGAGTCTGAAAATCAAATACAGTATGGTGGTGTCATGATCCCAAAGAAGAATCCTCAAATTGTTTGGTTCCGGGAACTGTGATCGTTCCTGGGGACCTCAAAGAGCTTTAGTTGATGCCTATTCATGGTAACCGTATTAGAATTTTACAAGGAGAAGTAAAGAATATATGTAAATTAATTCATTGAAAATAATGGTAAACCAATTCTATGCTAATGTAAATAACACAGTTTAAAGAAAAATGAACTTGATTTTTGAAAACAAGAACTTTAATGAGTATAGTGTCATTGCTTTACATTTTTGCAAACCTTTTCAGTGCCTGGCTTCGTGGGGTAGCTGAATTCTCATATCTGCTTCTACATTCATGTCTTGTGCTCACATAACCTGTAGCTTCTGGAAGACTCCACCGAACGCTTGGGAGAGCGTGATGGTGGAAAAGGGAAATAAAATTTTAATGCTATCGGGGTGCCAGGGTGGCTCATTTGGTCGAGCATCTGGCTTGATTTCGGCTCAGGTCATGATCCCATCCTTGGTCATGGAATCCAGCCCCGTGTGGAATCCAGTCCTGCCAGAGCATGGAGCCTGCTCAAGATTCTCTCTCCCTCTCCCTCTCCCCTGCTTGTGCACTCTTTCTCTCTTAAAAAAAAAAAAAAAATCTTAATACTATTATGAAAATAATTTTGACCTTGTGGACTCCCTGGAAGGGTGTCCTGGAACTCCAGGGGTCCTCAGGCCACATTTCAAGAACCCCTATCTCAAAGTATTTTTGCTTGTATGCCTGTGTATAATTTATAATGGGTTTAAGCAGTAGCACAGGTAAAACTGTAGATAAGATATTAAAAGGAGGCTCAAACTGATCATAACTCAGAGAATGGAATTAAGATGAGTACCAGTAGAGCAATATGCCCAGTGCAAGGAATCTGATAATCCAGCAGAGTCCTGGTGAAAACCCCAAAGCATGAGCAGCTAATTCAGAACTTTCCTCACCTCACAGGTCCCTTTGAATCTTTAAAATATAATATGATTTGGGGGACCTGTGTGGCTCAGTCGGTTAAGTATCCAAATCTTGATTTTGGCTCATGATCTCATGGTTCGTGGGTTCAAGCCCCCATCAGGCTCTATGCTGACAGTGCAGAACCTCTTTGAGATTCTTTCTCTCCCTGTCTCTTTGCCCTGCCCCACGCATGCTCGCTCTCTCTCTTTCAAACTAGGTAGACTTTAAAAATATATATAACATGATTTACACAAAAATATCTGTAATAACACACATGTTAAAAGGAAATATCTATTCTATAAAGCACTTTTAATCTCCGTTTATTTTTTCCAGACTTAAAATTTCCGATGATTTGAAGATTGGCTTTTTCAGCACAGACCATGCTACTCAAACAGATTCCAATGAAATTTTGCCATTGAAAGAGTTGAGTTCATCTACAGAGAAGCTAGTACAGGTAAATCTGGATTCATTTAGAAACTTCTGAGATTATTTTAGGTGTTGTTTACCTTTATGTCTCTTTCCTTCACAGAATGGAAATGATTAAAAAATTTTAAATATTAGCATCTTTTACAAGCTGAATTGGATGAGAGCTGTATTTTTTTAAATAATTTGTATACACTGCTGCTTGTATTTACATCATGCGCATATATGTTTTGCAAAGTGTGTTGTTACTCTCCTTGAAATTCTTTTGACATCTGTGAACATTTTCTATTTATGATACCTTCCGAGATCAGACGAGATCGTGCGCGTTCAGGCTGGTATGGCCATAGACTATTTATGATACCTTTTAATAATTGTAAAATACTTTTGGTGTGTAGAAAAATGTGGCAAATACTACAATGAATAACTTGGGTTACCCATCATACAGCTTTGTCGAATCTTGACATTCCATCATATTTCCTCTGGATCTTTCTTGATTGTTAAGAAACAGCACATTTCATACACATCGGATATCAAGAGTTATTAAGGTCCCTAATCAATAAAACTGTCACACGGGATAGCATACAACTATAAATACTCTTGTGTCCTTCGTTTCTGTTTTTTCACTCAACAATATAACTTGAAAATCATTCCATATTGATACATAGTTTACTTGCCTATTTCAAAAGTACATCATATCATAAAATGTGCATCATTTATTTAACTATCCCTCTATTAAGGGACGTTTTGGTCATCTTAAATCTTCTACTGCGATGAATAATTCTGTACATACTCGTAGGCCAGCAAATTTGTGGCATAAATTTAAAAGTGGAATTTCTGAGTCAGAGGATGTATCCATTAGTCACTCTGAAGGATATTGCCAAATTGCCCTACACGGAGATTGTACCAATTTACACCCCAACTCATAACTTTTGAAAGTTATTTCCTTACATACTTGCTAATTTATTGTCTTTCCTAATGCCTTCAGAACAGTTGTATAACTTCATTTCCTTTGCAGTTTGGCGCATCCAAATGACTGACTTCTGGTCAGTAGAATTAGGTGGAAATATTATGTGGCAACTTTGGGGAATCTTCCTTAGTAAACAGTTCATGTGCACTCATTTTCTGCTACTTCACTCCTTCCTCCACCTCTTCTCCCTACCTCCCTTCCTTCCTCCTTCCCACTTTCTTTCCCTTCCTTTCCTTCTTTTCCTTATTTCTGTGCCTAGAACATGGGTGCTAATGTTTGTACCGTGATTTTGAGGCAGTGCATGCAGCGGAGTGATAGAATGGGAGGGACTTGTGTCATTTTCACCACTGATTGCCCACATCAATTTCCAGTGAAAGAGAAATAATTTCTCATTGACACTTCTGTTATTTGGAGTTCTAAGATATAGCTGAACCAAATTCTGATACAATATGCTTAAATCAGATTAAGAGTGTTTCCTCTATTTTTAATTAATAAGAGGCATTTAAAAAAACATCATGAGGGGCGCCTGGTTGGCGCAGTCGGTTAAGCGTCCGACCTCAGCCAGGTCACGATCTCGCGGTCCGTGAGTTCGAGCCCCGCGTCAGGCT